AATCGCACGTTAAAATAATTAGTGGCGTTAAATTGTTTTAGTTATTAACGCGTTAACTTGACAGCCCTAGTAAACACCGACCATATTACGTCCAAAACAGTCGGGCATTGATTCTGATAGCGACGTTTACGTCATATCGGACACAAATCTGGATCAGCTCCGTTGTTCCCCCATATTTTTAGATTTGCGCACGGAGGAAAAGAGAGAGGGTTTTGTTTTCTGACACTTTGTGAGTTCCCTGACACACCGGGGACACTATTTATGTATAAAAGACATCAAAAAGTGCATTTTGCATGATAGGAGACCTTTAAAGAGTGCAGCTATGATTGATTTGTATTTCACCATCGACTGAACTCATGCCTTAGTTTTATCAAATGTTAATCACCATAATGCATATTCATCAGTGGTGAACTTAGCGTGACCTTTGTAAAGTTTCTGTAAAACTACTCTCCTCTCTTCCTGGTTTTTATTGCACTACATTTGGCATTGCCTCCCTCTTTGTCTGGATACACTGTCTGCAAACAAAACATTGTAAAACCAAGATTTCTTGTGCATTGTTTCACTCATGTTTTCCCTCTGGTTTGTCCTCCGTGTTATTTTTACTTTAATTGAAGCCAAACCATCACCCAACGTGTGCCAACATATGCAGAACTCGGGTCAATTGAAATGCTTTTCTCTCAGACTGTACCGAGGCTCGCGGAGATATGACAATGAGTCGAGCTATTCTGCAGAAGTGTTTAAATTTCTCCCCTAATTCTCCACGGCTTTTACTTTAAATGGAGTATTATTAAACCGCAGCGTGTGCAATTTCCGCTTATCGCTGATATTAAAGAAACAGACGGTTACAGTAGTGTGGCTTTATCTAATTCCATACAGACATATTCACCAAATAGTTTCTGACCCCATGTTGGGCACATAGATAAGATATACAACTATATTAAAAGGTTTATAGTGGATCTCGATGAGGGTCCATGCTTTGACCCTCAGGCAATTTGATATTTAAAATGCATGTCATGTGTGAATACATCTGCCTTTCAGTTTTCAATATATGCAGTAATACACCACATCAGGGTCTTTTGAGGGCTGACGGAGGTTTTTGACAGCCATAAATAATGCTGCCGTCTTCCTCATTCATCCGAGCTTCTTTGATTTCTCTCTTACTGCAAACAATCTATCCCAGAAATGGAAAATCATTCAAAACAAATGTTATCCATGAGGTCAGAGATTATAAATCACTATTTGAAGCAGACCGTCCCCTCGTTTTTCACACTTCAAAATGTCGAGTTTGTGTGTTCATTCGAGGCAAGATGATGAGAGCGGGAGAGTGTTTGTTCACACACACACACACACACACACACACACACACACACACACACACACACACACACACACACACACACACACACACACACACACACACACACACACACACACACACACACACACACACACACACACACACACACACACACACACACACACACACACACACACACACACACACACACACACACACACACACACACACACACACACACACACACACACACACACACACACACACACACACACACACACACACACACACACACACACACACACACACACACACACACACACACACACACACACACACACACACACACACAGGTTTTGAAGCAGGGTTGTTTGATGTTTTTCCACAGTCAGTGGTTAGTGGATCTACAATAGAATTACAATACTATTTTCGCTCCCTAAAGAAAGGCAAGTACGGATTCAACACATAGATTAGCTACCCCTCTTTTCTGCAGAGTAAAGTTACTGTTTTTGAAGTGAGTAGCTTTTGCAAGACAATAAAAGGAAATATATGGCTCCAGTTCTGTGTTGAAAAAGGTAATGCAGTGTAAGTAGTAAAAACCCTTTGTTCTTGGGACTGTAAAAGGTCAGAATTGCTACCATTTATCCTGCAATGGGCAAGTATCTGATGCAGGATCAATAGATAGTAGGGGTGGGAATCACCAGGCTCCCCACGATACGATACTATCACGATACTTAAGCCACGATACGATAGTATTGCGATTCTACGACATGCTAAGTATTGAGATACGATATATTGTGATATTGCAAATCACATGGGTCATATCCATGTCCGTCTTCCCTTCCTGGTTAAAAAATGTATTTGCAATATGAATAGATGATGTAAATAACCCAATTTGTGTTCTTTGAACCTGAAAAGGAGATGGCATTGTTTTTGTTACTTTCATTGCAATTGTATACATGTCTTAACTTATCGCGATACTATGCTGTATCGATTATTCCCCCCACCCTCTTCCGTCAGGCCTTTGGGGCGTCGGAGGAGGTGAGTTAGTAGCTGTCTTTTATTGGTGTTTTATCCTATCTTTTATCCTATGTATTACCTGCTGTTGTTTTATGCCTTTTTATGCCTTTTATTCTACATTTTAGTTGTACTGTGAATTGTGTACTGTACTGTAAAGCACTTTGTACATTCGTGTTGAGAAGGGTGCAATATAAATAAAGTTTTACTTACTTACTTACTTACACCCCTACGAAAGTGAGTGTAACGGTGATTTACTCACTAGGGCTAACTTCATTTGTATATATAAACACAGATTACTGATAGGTTTAGATACGTGTCTGTACTGTGGCTTTTCCTGGTGCTCAAAGACGCTTTACAAGCATGTTAACAAAAGAGAAACCTAGAGGAGATGACCCTCCCCCAGTTCAGAGGAGCAGAGAGGAGTTATGGCTCTGAGTGTGTACCGCTGGGGACAGGAACAGCACTAAAACATATTTTCAGTAAATAACCCTTCCAATAATAACCTTGCTGCTCCGTGCAGAAACCATCATTCATATTCACACAATCCCCCACAGACAGATCGACAAAAGACAACAAAACAGTTCATGAATTATTCCGACACGCAGCTTGTGAAGCCAGTGGAGTATTTAAAAAGCAAAGTGGTGTTTGAGGTTCTCAAATCCGATCGATAATTAGATCCGTTTCCTCTCTTTAGCTGGTGAGTATGAAGATGTTAAAACACTTTTCACCCTCACTTCTCCAGGTGCCAGTCTCTGCCATTTGATGTGCTATCTGGCACTCGATCACCCTTTAAAGCAGCTCCACTGGCAATGGAGTTAATTGATTTGGAGAGTTTCCAACGCCTTAGTGGCCGGGATTACATCCTGATGTTCCCTGTCTGCATTTAGGATTTAGAGGAGCCTTAAAAAGCTTTCGAGCAAAGCATGCATCCAATATATTCACAAAAAAGTACTACATTCTTGGAATCCATCACAGATCAGAGTGCACCTGTTAAAGTCATTCATTATCCGCATGTTGTTTCTTCATTATAATCTTAAAGGTAGGGTAGGTAATTCACTTTAGAAACACGTATTGTTATATTCCATGGAATGCTCTTAACATCCCGATAGCAATGAATACATGAAATGCTTTGACAATAAATATATACAAATATTTCATCTGTGGAAGCCGTGGCGCTGTAAAAAGCACGACCAATCATCTGACTGGATGGCCTACCTGCCTGTCAGCCTTCCATCTTGTGCACAAACTTATCTCGTGCCCTCATTGGTCATGTGCGCGTTCGTGTGTGTTGGAGGAGGGGCTCTGTAAGGAAGGGGCAGATTTTTTTCGGTTGTGTACTTTCAGATTCTAGCGCACTCGAGCTGGTGTCTCCATTCTTACCTACCCTACCTTTAAATGCTGCCAAAAAAAACACATAAAGCAGTCAGATTCCCTCAGGCATTTCCTGAAACCACAACACTCAAAGAATTCACTCGCATGCATCTCCTCATTTACCACAAGCGTTGTAGAAAACACAGATCAATCTTTGACAGGAATCGACTCTCACTGACAAGAAAATAATGTAGCTTCTTCTGAATAAAAGCAGAAATCAACAGTGCAGGTAGGGTACGCTTGTGCAGATACACAAATGAACTCGCTAAAGGTCATAATGCAAACCTGTAGTCACAGATTATGGAAGGTAACGCAGGGTAAAATTGTTGTATGCACAAGCAACATGCCCAAACAAATCATAAATATACTTCTCTTGTATTCAAACTTGCAATAGCTCAGACTAATTTTAAGTAATATCAAATCAAGTAAGAATATATTCCAAACACTTTCCAATCACTTGCGTTACTCCACATCTTATCCCCCTCTGTTGTGATATCAGGGACAGTCTGTGTCACACTTGCTCTGATTTATTCAGAAACATCTCATGAGCATAGCCTCACCAGCCAATTAAGATGTAACATTTTATAATAAATGCAGGAAATCCTGATGCGTGTGTCTTGTCTGAAAAAGCAGCATTATTAATATTAGATATACGAGTTGATGATGAAAATCTAGTACACATAATAACAAAAATTCAAAAGATGTACTAGCTGAAAGTCTTCAGACAGTAACTCAAATAACGTGGATATCTACTGTATATACAATAATTAAGACATTAACTACTTAAAGCTGCATTAACATGTTTACGGCCACTTGGGTTCAACAGAGCTGAAAACACAACATTTCAGAATGACGATCATTTGAAATGTTTTTGTTGCCCCTCCATCACGAGAGCCGTAATACTGGAATAACACAACGTTTGCAAACCAGAAAAATAAAACAATAAGTTCAAATACACTCAAATATCTCTTGTTGAGTTGGGGGATCTGTCGAGTCGTGGAATAATTCTCTGTGGGTTCATTACTACATTAAAATACTGATGTGTGCAGCTTTAACTAAAATGGAGGGTTCTGCTTTTTCCCTAATGTCTTTTTCTTTGGAGTGACGATCATCATGAAGTTGAAAACCCTCTTTAAAGCAGTATAAATGTAAAATACCAAAAATGCTATATGGACAGAAGATAGACTGTGACATAGAGCTTCAATACTTCAATGTGGAATAATGACCAGGAAATGTAAAACAGGCTATTTTAGAATATCTGACCAGCTGCCGCTCACATATTAAAGCTCAGGTAAACTCGTGATGTGCTCACCTGCAGCAGAGCAGCAGCCAGGTAGACGGACATGAAGATGGGCGTCAGGGTGGTGTGTCCGCTCTTCATCAGGTGGATGGTGTAGAGGAAGATCAGGTGACCCGGGACCACCAATAGGAGCAGCACCTGAGCAGAGCGGTGATTGGCTCCTGGGAAAATAAAAAGGTTAATCAATTACCTCATAATTATCTTGTTTACATCGTTTTACCTCAATTACAACACTTTATTTCGTTTTTAAAGGTCCCATGTCATGCTTTTCCGGTTATTACCTGTCCCCTTGTGTGTTATGTAGCTTTGTATGCATGTAAACGGTCTGCAAAGTCACAAACCCTCAAAGTACACCCTGTAGCGAGTAAAACTCTAACACAGAAAATACCTGTCAACGCCTCGTTGGAGATTTTCTTTTTCAAATTTGATTCTTCCGGGAATCAAGTGACGTAACGACGACCACTTCGTGGATTGGTCAAAATGGACCAATCCGTGGAGCCGTTACGTTACGTCCGCGGAGCCGTTACGTTAAGTCCGTGGATTGGTCCAAATTGACCAATCCACGGACTTCCTCACACACACACACTCAATCTTTTCTCAGCTGCAGCTCCGCCGATTTCTCCTCCCTGAGACGGCGGGACGCGGCGAGGCTGTGAGTCGGTGAGTGAGCACACACACAAACTCCCAGACAGGCTGCGGGTGTGTGTGTGTGTTCGGGCTGGTTTCGGGCTGGGTTTCGCTGTGTCTCGCTGTCTCGCAGACGGCCACTGGGCTCATAGGGAGGGGGGGGCAGGAGCTCCAACAAGCCGTTTAGGACAGAGAGTGAATACACATACTATACAGAGATGCTGTATGCGATTTTGAAAATTGCACAATATAAATCTATTCTAGTAGACCACAACAATGGAAATATGATCAGTAGAAATGGCCATGTCATGGGACCTTTAACAACGTCCTTTACTGATTACTGGATTCAATGTATTATATTCGGACTTGTTTCTGTTTGTTTCCAAGTCTGAAAAGAACAGAAAGTAAGAAGAAGGATTTTTTCAGACTGTGAACTGACTTCACAATTTAAGATTTCAAGATCTTAATTCTTTAAAAATGTAAAGACTTATTAAATTCCTGACAGCGTTTTCAATTCAGAAATTGAAATCCAGACCTCATAGGAGTACCATAAAAAAAAGATAAATGGGAAAATATAAAGAAAAACAAATGAAAAAATGTGATAAATAAATATTAAATAAATGTGGGTAACCATCCAGGAAGCAAACATGATGGCAGAAACAGAACTAGAGTTATGGAGAGGTTTCCAAAATGTTCTTGTAACACTCCCTCAGAATTTGTATGCACTTATGACCCTATGATTTGACTTGTAGGTGAATTACAATGTGTGAAGGTTAATCATTAGCAATCAGCTGATGAGTATTACAAATGTATACACTGTAAGGACCTCACATCTATCATAGTGGAGTTATACTGTTATGCCTAACCAACGTGTGCTTTAATGAAAAGCTCAGTATATATTGTGTGCACGGTACTGACCTTTTCCCCAGAAGGTGCGGCAGGGGTAGTAGCAGCCCTTGGCCTCTTCAGGAACCTCTCCAGGAGCACAGTGGAAGTGCAGGTGAGTGGAGAACCTGCTGGCCTGGATCGCTACCAGGTTCCCCCCGATTCCTGCAGGAGAGGAGAGGCGATGAGAGGTCAGGATGAGAGCGCAGCAGAGCGTTTAATGGGAAGTCAATAAGGAGAGAGGTGAGTTACGCCAGGTAAATACAGTTATTTAGTACCCCTTCTCCAGGGGGGATAGAGAAAGGCCAACAACCAACACACTGAGGCTGATTATATCTGCCATTTTCTCTCACATACACACATAGAGGATGTTGGTTTGTTGCTTTAGTCACACATTAATATTCCATTGAGGAGACTGCATGAAATTGAGTATGGACATTTTAATTGGGTCTTTTCACAGTGGACATTTTGAGATGTGATCGCAGCAGAAGCAGGATCATGTCTCGATTTTAACTCTGTGTTTGTAAAACTTTTTGGGGAAAACTCTTGCAAAATTGGCTCCCCGAGGACGACTTGCAAGGGTCTTGCAAGAGTTTTGACAGTTGAGGGAAACCATTTAGACACGAACAAATGCAGAAGTTTAACAAATTCCCAGTATTCACATAAGACTAGGGGATGGAAGGGAATGGTAGCACACATTTACTTGCTTTTTCTTTGAAGATTTGGTGAACAATTTAGTGATATTTGGGTTGAAACCTGGCTAAAAAGTGTCAGTTTGATGAAGATGTTCAAACCTTTCTTCAACTTGCTTAATGTTATTGATAAATCGGAGAAAATGCACCTGGTTTTGCACCAGCTATAACAGAACTACGACAACTCTGTGCATGGGCTCTGAAATGCAACCAATAATTTAGCTTAAAGTGGACCTATCATGCTATATTTGAATAATATAGTGTAGGACCATACCTATATAAGGCATATTTATACTTTTTTTTTTTCAAAATACCAAACAGATCATGCATTTTAGCCATGCCTCATTTTGCTCAATTTGACATTTTTTAGCTCTGTTTTTGCAAGGGCAGATTCAGTGAGAACAGCACCATCTACAGGCCTGGCATATGTACTACAGTGTCTCCAGCGCTTTCGAACGGCAATGGCCGTGGCTGTCTCCTCCTGATTGGTGGAGTTGGCCCAATAGCCGTAGCGCCACTGTCCTGACGTCAGGACAGTGTTCAAATCTGGATCAGTTTTTATCAGATCCGTTGCAGCCCCTTTTTTAGAGATTTGGGTATGGAGGAAAATAGAGAAGGTTGTGTTTTCTGACACTTGGTGAGTTCCCTGGAACACCGGGGACACATATTCATGTATAAAAGACGTACAAAAGTGCATTTTGCATGATAGGTCCCCTTTAAGGGTTTGAATAATGAATACCATGTTAGATAATTTGAAAAATGCAACACCTTCCCATCATCAATGAATCTTGACCTCTCAAATTGGTTTAAAAACTGGCAGTCAAAACCTATAGGAACCATTGCTGTACTGAAGTTTTTTCTTAAAGTGAAATGGATCACAGTTATTCTCCTAGTCAAGCATATAAATAGTCATAAAAATGTGGTAAGCCATCTGTACTGACAAAAAAATGGGGCCGCTTCATATTCACATACAGCAGCTATCACACCTTCACTTTAACAAGCAACACATTGAATAACTTCCTCCTGTGTGTTTCATCCCGTGAGCCACAGTGTGGTTACTGAGCCCTGCAGGAGAGACACACATCAACTACAAACGCTCTGACAGGCGACCACACAGCGGAGCAGAAGAAAGCAGAGAATGTCTTGTGAAAAAGAGACGTTTCTTTCATCCAAAAATGTATAATACAAATGGTTCCTGTGTAGTGGGTAAACGGTAGGGTGGGAATCACCAGGCTCTCCACGATACGATACCATCGCAATACTTAAGCCACGATACGATAGTATTGCGCATATATATTGATATATATGATTGCATGATATATTGGGTTCCAGTGTCTTAACATGTGACAAAAGCCTGCGTTTTCCACAACGCTGTATGGACGCACATGATCCAAAATCCAGCACCAGTCACTTTTACACTCTCATTTGCACATCATCATTTTTTATATATATCCTGCTTACTTGAAGTAAATGGTTATTTTGTGGGTGTTTTTGTAAATTATTAAGTGTTCTTGTATTTTAATGTGTTTTTTTTATACCTCAGGACTGTGGGAAACAGTATTTCGATCTTTCTGTGTGTACAAACATATTTTGAGATCGACAATAAAGTTGACTTTGATGAAGTAGGTGATTGATTGAGTTATTGTATTAGCTCGATCAGAATTTGATTGTATCTTTGCCAACAAGCTAATTTGAATTTGCAATATGAATAGTTGATATAATAAAATATCAATACTTGGCGTCCGTGTATCGATACAATATCGCCACGCAAAGTATAGCGATACTATGCTGTATCGATTATTTCCCCCACCCCTAGCAAACAGATCTTGTGTTCACGGTTTCTTCCAGTCACTGAAGTGGCCGTGTATTATAAACCACACCGACTTTGTCCCTCTAAACCAGGCCGGCTACTGTGGTGTGAGTATATTAAATTAGACACAGCCACCACCTCAGGGTGACGGCCACTTATTTCAATCCATTGTGGCTCTCTGTCCGCCTGGTGACATTTTATTGGTGCGTAACCAGCACTCCCACAGGGCCTGCAAACAGATTGAACTTCACATTAAATTGACGCTCACTGCGCCCCGTCTGTCCGCCTGCTTCACACTCCTGCCCTCACTATCTGAATATGCCACTGATCCAATTTGGCTCTTTGAAAAGGGAAAGTTCAACACTTACTTATTTTATTTTACTTCTTCCCTTAGATTGAGATGTCTATGAGTTAAATAGCACTGGGAAACAACTAGCCTTGCTCCGTTTATGGTGGAAAAACACAAGAAATAGATCCAAAAGGTTTTTTACATATCTCTCTATATCCAATATCTTTATTTGCACTTATTTATGGGCTATAACATGTGTCATACTATTATTTTAGAGACGCTTCAGAGTTTATTAATGACGTTTTGAATTTCTGTCACCCTAAAAAATCAATCCTGGTGGAAAATCTACAGTTTTAAGTGATTCATCTGGGAAATTAGTATTTTTGTGTAATTAAATTAACATTCTTTCAAGGCCCAATGTGTAATATTTGCTCAAATGTAAGTGTATGAAAATTAAAAAAAGGAGATAACATCGTAAACACAACCTGAAGACGTTGCTGTGACATAAGATTATGTCACAGCCTGTGACATAAGATTTTCAACTACATAATTACTCTGTAGCCATGTCAGATTGACAATAAAGAACCTTGAACTTGAACCTTGAACCTTGCTGTGTTGAAGACGTTTATGTCTTATGCAACAGAGATAAGAAATTAGCATGCTAACGGACTAGCTTGTTCTTGTAATACCACTTCTAGTTATCTGTTTTATAGTTTGTTAATTCAATTCAATTCAAAGTGGCATCAACGAGTAATTAAATAGCAGCCTCATCACGTCCTCACAGTGGAGGCTGTTTATCCGAAATATGGTAATGCTTTAGTTAGGAACTAGCAATTAGCTTTAGGTCAGCTGTCTGAAATCTCTTTATTGCATGAAAGGCAAGGCACGTTTATATATAGACACAACACCTTTCAATGCAAGGCTAAAGCAAATCCAGACCCAAAACATTGGAAATCTGGGGTTTGAATGTGACGTATAGTTTCATTAACATGGTTTTCAATTAGAATGATTTGGTCCTTGGTTATTTTGACTTGTCTGGCTATTTGTCCTTTAAGGCTTGTGGTAGGTTTGGGGGAGTAAAGGGGCTGAGGGTGTTGTTACATCCTCAGCAGGGGGCCGAGGTAAACCGGAGGATGTTTGGGAGCAATCTGGATTATTCAGGTCACTGGATCTGACAAGAGGAATGAGGATGAGGAGGTCTCTGGAGTGCAGGGGGGGTCAGTGGTGCTTCTCTGGGGGGGCGCTATGCCTCGAGGGGGGAGACACAGGAACTGTCTGCTTTCTTATCACAACTCATCTCCTGTCGCCTCCTCCAGGTTTAATTTCATTTAGTTCATTTAAAGGTCACCTATTATGCTAAATCCACTTTTTCCTGTCTTTTCTACATCAACATGTGTCCCCTCTTCTTCATGTCTCTTCTACATCAACATGTGTCCCCTCTTCTTCATGTCTCTTCTACATCAACATGTGTCCCCTCTTCTTCATGTCTCTTCTACATCAACATGTGTCCCCTCTTCTTCATGTCTCTTCTACATCAACATGTGTCCCCTCTTCTTCATGTCTCTTCTACATCAACATGTGTCCCCTCTGTGTAAAGAGACTCTTAAAGTTTCAGGAAAAAAGATTCCCTCTCTTTTTGTCCTGATCCATTTCTATAAAAACCTGTCTGAAAATGAGCTGATCAGATTTTGGCCACTTTATGATGTCATAACGATGTTTTGGCTTGTGTAACCATTAGCCAATCAGCAACCCGCCGGTATATTGCACATTCACTCAATCCTGAGGGTCTCCTCAGCTCAGAGCCTGACCCCAAACATTGATGAACTTGCACCCAAGATGAGATGCCAAGTATCTGCTTGAACTAGCATCACAGAGCAGCACACTGAGTTTACATGGATGTTTCCTTCTGCACTTTCTTTCTTGAGACAACAGGGCATGTTTGGTTTGTTCTTTGAGGGAAATAGTTTTTTTAAAGCTGTTGTTGGCCTGTGGAAAAATGTAATCATAAGAAATGACTGTGGAAAAGCTGCAGATAGAGCCATAAGAAATGAATGCAACTGATTATTTAATGTTTAATGTTGTTTTTATAGGCAATCATTTAAGCTTTGTTAGTTCCAGGTTTAATATGTGCAATAAGTTCATTTCAATAAGTTTTGCAATAAACATTGAACCAGTCCGGCCCTCGACTAGTACCCATTTTTAAATGTTGGCCCACTGTGTATTTGAGTTTGACCCCCCTGATGTAAAGGATCAGACAGAGAATCAGCACTTTGGAAACAGGGCTGAAACAGAGGGGATTATGGGATGCTGCAATGATCTGTTTGGTGTTTGGAGGCCAAACACTTCAGAGACACGTTTTGTATATATCTGAGAC